GTCTTCTGCATCAGAACTTCAAGTGTGGGTAGTAAAGTCCCATAGGGACAGTCACCTTCTTACTCCAATATAGCTTCTGTTACTGGTATTAACAGTTCAAATATCCATGGTAGTTGACACAAAGTTGACATCATTCAGTGCAGCCTTCAGATTTCTCTCCATCTCTGCATTCTCCTTCTCCACATATGCAGAAAAAGCTCCTCTGTGAGGCAGCTCGGCATTGGTGGGGGGGGGGGCAGTGGTGGGGATTTGGTTTATTATGGCACAAATGAAGGCGAGTTAACCATGTTGAAGGGCAGCATTTCTTCTACTACAAACCGTCTGACCAAATTTTTTAACTCACCCACTTACTGGTTTTGCACCGAAGGCAAGTTTTTGTTGTTTGGTGGTGGTGGGGGACCTCCTGTCCCAGCTCTCTGCTTTGAACCACCTAGCGGGGCTTGCTCCATCAGTTTGACTGTCCCATGCTGTGACTCCAAATGTTTCTTCAGATTTGATGTGGTGTTTTTTGAAGCTAGACAGCACTTTCTCGCCAGCACAGAGGGTACAATGAACCTTGAAATTGTCATCTTTTGCTGACAGAGACTCAAAATAGTTCCTGTATTTCCAGCTATAAAATGAGAATCTTCCTCCTCGCTACATTGTTTACGTTTCTGTCGTGGCGTGGTGTCAGGTATCACAGGTGATGATAACGTGACTGAATTGTCGTATAGACCTGATGTCACTTAATTGTCACTCCCTGAGATGCATAGAGGAAATACAATTAAATTACAGTACTAGAGAAAATGACAAAAACAGTAACGTGCAGTAATTTGGACAAGTATCTTTAATCTCATTACTGGATTTTGAAATAGCAACGCGTTAGATTACTAGTTACTGAAAAAAAGTGGTCCGATGTCAGTAATGCGCGTTACTGAAATCAATGATCACAAGATTTTACACAAACTGGTTGAGCTCAAAATATCGGTTGTAAATGACTCTCAGCTACCACCACATAAAATATTAGCTCAACATCTGTAAAATTAACTGAGTAATTTTTGTGTTGACTAAGAACAGTTAGCTGTGGCAGCCGTCTTGAATTTGATTGACATCAAATGTTAAACAGTGGTAAAGAAATATCTAATGATTATTTCATGAGAGTTTCATTAAAATTTGTTCAGTGGTTCATGAAATATTTTGCTAACAGACGAGTTGACTCCAAATAGTTAATGTCTTTTAAACAAAGATCTTGCACTTTTGCTTAGCACTCAGAGTATGTGTTGGGAATCAGTCTCTGCTACTACCACATAAAAACTTAAACATCTAAAAAACTGACGAAGGTAAAGCTGTTTTGTGTTTTCTCCATCTTCAATTGACTCCAAAATTTAACACGTTGTAGATGTAAATCCTATGATTCATTCCTGAGAGTTACATCAAAATCCATTGAATGAGCCATGATGTATTTTGCTTACAGGCAGAGTGACACACACACACACACACACACACATGCACGCACGCATGCACACACACACACACACACACATGCACGTGCATAAACACGCTTACAATAGCTTGCAGCTGAAAGGCAGGAGATAAATAAAATAAATAAATACAAATAAAACAGCAAATATGACAATCACAGAATAAACAAATTTATTACTTCCACTTTTGAAATGACATGAAAAATTATTAAAACTAATTTCTCAAACACATTTTTCTATTTAGGTTATCTGTTTATCATCATCAGTTCTTTTATATACAGTAGTCCCTCATTTATCGCGGTTATTAGAGACCACGCCTCTGTGATAAATGAAAAACCACGAAATATGGATAGTTGTACAAGTTCAAGTTCAAGTAAAGGTTATTGTCATTACCATCTCATGTGATTTGAGATGGAACTAAATTATGTACACAAGTAGTAGTTAGTAGTAGTAAGTAGTTTATTTAGTATAACATATACAGTATATATTAAGACGTTTTAAACACTTCCCACACTCTTGCAATGTTCTAAACTCTTAAACCTATGTCATTTTAACAACATAAGTACAGTACTATATGTAGCTACTAAATATTACTCACCAGGCTCTGCAGAACAGGAGCGGGTCTCGTTCTGGTCTGACTCAGTTTGTTTCTGCAGACCTAACATGCAGCGACATGCCCACAGTCAATGTTGTCAACTGTTAAACCTATAAATTTTAACATCATACTCATATGTAGCTACTAAATTTTACTTACTTGCTCTCTGGTTCACCGCTGAGTCTGGAGGTCCAGTTCTGGTCCAGTTCAGTGCAGCTTGAGTGCCCAAGTGCATTTCAGAGGGGTGCAGACCTTCTGTTAGTTGGCATGGGACCATAGGTGGTCAATTTGAGTCTAAAGTATGGATGAAAAAAGTCCCAATGGGCTCGACACATGTCCCTGCTTACAAGTACTTGTGGGCCGGGCAACAATTCTCAAGGTTCACTGACGGGTCTGGAGGTCTGGTTCTGCTCTAATTCTGCTCCGGTTCTGCTCCGGTTTGGTGGGTTCAGTGCAGCTTCTCTTCATCCGCTGGGCGCCAAGCAAATCAAAACTTTACCTCTGTGTTTTTCAGCAGAAGGAAATGGGGTTTCTGGGCGGGGCCCTGTTGCTTTCTGGGAAACGTGGTCGTTATGAGTGGGAATACAGTGGAGGCTTACAGAGAAAAAACTACAAAATAGCGGTGCCTGTCCCAAGTATTTTACTTTTGTCATTAAATTTTTTACAACCACATGAGTACATTGATACAGTATACAGTGCAGTACAGTCCACAATTGCGTGTCTTGTACAATTTTTTTAATTATTTTTTTGTCTAGTACAGTAAATGGACTGTACCTCCACAAACCGTGATGGAGAGAGTCTGCGATAGTCGAACCGCGAAGTAGTGAGGGACTACTGTAATAAAATTGGATTACTCTTAAAATGGTCAATATTATTACAAGTTACTTGTAAACAAAGTAACCGTTGTGCGTTTGTGTGACCTTCACTGACCTCCACCAGCAGGGTGTTGATCACGGTGTCGATGTGGCCCACATCCGGGACGATGGTCATCTTATCACCACATGGCATGGGAAAGTTCAGGGTCTGGGCACTGACCTTCAGGCTCACATCACCTGTGTACACAGACACACACTCTGATTCTGGGATGAATCGATTAGCATCCATCAGTGTCTGTAGAACAGAAGGACGACTTCATCCCTCTCCCTGTTCCTCCTCCTGTTTACCTCCTCATTAATCGCCATCATTTTAACTGTTTCCCACCCCCTCCTCTATTCCTTCACAACCTACAATCATTCACACGGAAGACAAGCACAGATCAGCCCCTGAGGGAGAGGTTTCTGAATGTTTCGTCAGAGCTACTGCCTGACTTGTTAGCACAAGTGATTGTCAGCATTCCTCTGAGAGGGAGTTAGAGGATCGCAGTTTGACATGCATCAGAGCCTCATCTCCATCACCCCAGCCGATGGAGCTGATGGAAATCCTCTGCTTTCAGGCCAGCCAGGCAGCTCTGCAACAACTGCACCCAGCTTCTCTTGAAAAATTACAAGACTGTATATATGTATATGTACAAACATACACACACACATCCACACATATTGCATGTAGTTGAAGTTTCTTACACCAAGATGCCACAACACACCAAAATGGAAGTCTGTACCTCACTTATTTTTAAAGTTATCATGCTCACCACATGCACGGACAGACAGATGAAATAGATGAAGGGTACTTCATGAGCGGCTGTGGCTGAGTGGTTAGAGCAGTCTTCCTCCAATGCGAGAGTTGGGGGTTGAATCCACCAGCAGTCACATGCTGAAGTGTCCCTGGGCAAGACACTGAACCCCTCATAGCCTCCGATGTGTGCCCCATCATTGTATGAATGTGATCTAAAAGCACTGATTTGTCTCTTTAGAATGATTTGTTCAATTAGCTTTGTAGAGATCTATTAAAGTGCTATATGAATGGGTAAATGAGGACACAGATTGTAGTGTAAAGTGCATTGAGTATCTTGAAATAAGATAGAAAGGTGCTATATAAGTACAGTCCATTTACCACTTCCAGTTCCTCCTCTTCACACCTTGAAGGGAGACAACAAGCTCAAAGGTTGCCTTTTGTCTCAAATCCATCTTTTGATTCTAAACCCACTGTTATATTTTTGAAAGGGAAGTGTAAATAATTATATGAAATAAAGTGCCAACAGAGGGCAGCATGGTGGCGCAACTGGTAGAGCTGCTGCCTCTCATCGAGCAGGTCCCTGGTTCAAATCCCGGTCCGAGGGCCTTTGTGGGTGGAGTTTGCATGTTCTCTCCCTGCATGCATGGGTTTTCTCTGGGTACTCCTGTTTCCTCCCACGGACCAAAAACATGCATGTTAGACTGATTGGTAACTCTAAAATTGTCCCTAAGTGTGAGTGAGAGAGTGAATGTTTGTTTGTCTCATTTGTCTCTATGTGTCCTTGTGATGGACTTGCGACCCGTCCAGGGTGTACCCCGCCCCTCGCACAGTGATTGCTGGACATGGGCTCCGGCGATCCCCACGACCCAAAATGGAATAAGCGGGTAAAAGATAATGGCTGGATGGATGGAAAGTACCAACAGTAGAGGTCAGGGTTTAATCTATTTTTGATTCATCGCAGACCACTGTTGTATTGAACGCCATTTTTCACATGAAAGAGCACACAAACTAACTTGTTTTAGGCTTCGTCAAGCCACAGGAAGAAAACACTTTGTTGACTTTTCTTTGCTGTTTGCTCGTCTGGTTAAATTAGCTGTTGACAATATTTGCATACTTTTACCGGTGAATGTCAAGGTTAGTTCTACTTTATGGGTTGGAAACTGAAAAGCTGAGAACCCTTCATATACACTGAACATCCTGAAGGTTTTCAGTAAAAAGAAATCGAATTAGCTGTCTAACCCTACCTAGAGCTGTAGGAGTTACGATCCATGAGAAGTTGCTGGTGTCATCCCCGCACACACAGTCACCGTACATGCAGCCCTCACAGGGTTTAAAGGTGTACTGGTCGGAGTCCGCTAGAGTTACATTCACCTGGGAACAAGAAATGAGCAAAAATAAATAAATAAACAGCTCATTCAAATCTAACCAAGTTAAGTCAGGTCCTATGAACGGATGCACAAAGTTAAAATTTAAAATAAAAACAAAGTTGTTGAAACGTTTTGTCTTTTATCCAAAAGTCTTCTTCAGTCTATAAACTCAGTCTTATAAATAGCACTTTCTCATCGTGGATCAACCAGTGTGTTGTTGACATCCAGAACTGTTCACATGACAAAGGAGGACCAACAGACTAACAACTGATCATTAGCACCCTGATGGCTGTTTGCTATTCACAGGGGGCTGAGTGATGCTAGCAATAACAGCATTGTAAGAGGGGGACAGTTGAACATGGAGGCCTCCACCCCTGTTTAATGATAGATGGTTTCTTTTCACAAAGATGGCCTCCTTTACTCCTCTCTCAAACTATCGTTCCTCTCTATCCAGGATGTGCACATCTTCATCCCTGAAAGAGTGGCCGCTGGCCTGGAGATGAGTGTAGACCGCAGAGTCCTGGCCTGATGATGTTGCTCTTCTGTGCTGGTCCACCCTTTTGGCCAGTGGCTGTTTAGTTTCCCTGATGTAAGCCTGATCACCCTCCTGACACTGAACAGCATACACAAAAACAAAGGTGCCAAAAGTGAATAAGAAATACATCTACAGCTGCATGATCTGATTGGCAGTGTGGTTCTGTTAGTAGTGCGGTTCTGTTAGCAGTGTGGTTCTGTTAGCAGTGTTAGCAGGTCCCGTTAGCAGCTTGATGATGAAAATGACCTCAGCAGCTGCCCTCCCAGACTGCTCTCCAGAACCGGATTCAGCAGACAGAATTAGGATTAGATTAGTTAGGATATCCACATTGCTCTAGAGCTCGTCTTGTGTGGGATTTCTCTATCTGCCTGGCTCCTGAGTTAGTGGGGACGCTGTCTGCTCTGTGGTACCATAGAGCAAACAGCATCAGCATGATGGTCCTCCTTTATCATGTGAACAGTTCTGGGTGTCAACAAACTGGTTGATCCAATAGGAGAAGGTGTTATTTATAAGACTGAGTTTACTGTAGCTCCTCAGATTGACAAAGTCGTTTGGACAAAAGATGAATCGTTTTTGGCGGCACGGTGGCACAGTTAGTAGAGTTGCTGCCTCTCAGCGAGCAGGTTACCCTGGTTCAAATCCCGGACCAGAGGCCATGCTGGGTGGAGTTTGCATGTTCTCTCTGTGCATGCATGGGTTTTCTCCGGGTACTCCAGTTTCCTCCCATAGAACAAAAAACATGCATGTTAGACTGAATGGTAACTCTAAATTGTCCCTAGGTGTGAGTGAGAGAGTGAACGTTTGTTTTTCTCATTTGTCTCTATGTGTCCCTGTGATGGACTGGAGACCTGTCCAGAGTGTGCCCCACCTCTCACACAGTGACTGCTGGACATGGGCACCAGTGACCACTGCAACCCAAAAAGAAAGAAGCGGGTAAAAGATAATGGATGGATGGATGGATGGATGGTGGTAAAGAAGGTTGGATTTTTTTACTTTTTGCATCTGTCCAAAGGACCTGACTTAACTTTGTTAGATTTTTCTGCCTGGATTATTGAGCATGCATCAGAATAGCTAATTCAAATGTTCTGAAAAATTTTGTCATCTGAATTAAAGAAGCTACAGGTGTAATATTTACCGTAATGCACTGGGAAAGATAATTGAAGACAGTGGCCTTGAGTGTAAACTCCTCCCCTCTGATGACAGAGTATGGCAAGGTGAGACTGACAAAGAAGGGCTGGAAGGCAGTGAGTTTGGTGTTTGGTGCCACTCCAAAGCCCACAGACGAGACACAGAATGCTCCAGCTGCCCACTTAGTGATTGTGTCAGGGACCGTCTTCTGCAGGTCCACAGAGCCATTTTCTCTGTAAGCGTGGACATATAGGAAAGACAGACTGAGTGAATATTGGACGAGATACTGATGATTGTGTTTTTGGCTTTTTGATGTGTGAAAATATCCACCCTCTAGTCATTGTCCAATATTCGGTTGTGGTTATTAGTTAATTTGACCACTTCTAACTGAATATTTTAATTACCCAACAGGGATCAGATCCCAGATCCAGGTCTCTGGGAAGTATGTCCTGACTGTTTCTTTATTCCCCTGTGCACTTCCAGGTGGTGCAGGTTGTGCAGCTCGTTCAGGTTCACTGGCAGCAGAGCTCATATGAAGGCCATCTAGTTCTATAAATGCATGGATAAAAAAGAGCAAATTTTGCATCACTTACCCAACAGATTCAATTCAATTCAATTCAGCTTATTTATATAGCGCCAAATCACCACAAAGTTGTCTCAGGGCACTTTACAGGAACATTCACATACATAGAAAAGCCAATTAGTAATGTTCTCTATCTAAGGAAGCAGCAGACACGTTGAATCTTGACTTCGTTGCAGTCTCCCATCCTGAGCAAGCACAATGGCAACAGTGGAAAGGATACCAGATCCCAGTTTCAAGAAAGTATTTTCTAATGGTTTCTTTGGGCATTCCAGCGTGATTCCCAACAAACACCGAACCAAGTTCCAGGTCACTATCTAATGATGTAGACACTTTTTGCTTGACTATACCTTAATGGTCACTAAGAATGAACAGGAAAATAAACATACCAAAAATGAATGGAAAGCAGTCATAAGGTTTCCTCACATTAGAGTTCGTGACAATTTTTACTCCAATGTTCTAGAAATGGGAAGAAGAAGAAAAAATTATAGAAAATTATAAAATTATTCTTCTAAAATTACACAAGTGACAACAATACTTCCTTAACTTGAACATGGGAGCTAAAATGAGGCTCAAAATGCCAAAGATAAGAACACTACAAATATCAAAGGAAACAGAATTTAAGGACAAACAGTTAAAACAAATAAGATCAAACTTTACAGTATAAGAGTTAGGTGTAGAAGAAATGATGATATAGGAGAGGTAACATAAAAAATAATGAAAAAGGTGAAGATAATAAAGTTTTGGCAAAACAGAGGAAAAACGGACAAAGAAATGGACCAGAGGAAATAAACATAGAAAGATGAAAATGCTAACTTGAGTAACAGATACAACTGCTGAAAAGTAGAGACAAAGACTGCAGGGTTTCCCCTACCATTATCCAAGGAGAACACTCTGCCCTGTCAACAGAACCTAGCACACCAAGTACCGAACTGTCCCTTGGTCAACAACTGATGGCACTGCTGTAGTGTTAAGCTAGTGGCACGCAATAAAGACCCACTAACTAAAATGCTACAGAGGTAGTGCTCCGTTTCCCCTCAGACTGAGCAGTTTCCTTCAACCCCCTGCCCCACTCACCCTGTTCGACAACTGTTCGTTCAAACAGCACGCAACAGATGTGTCTCTGTTCCCCCAGTCAACAAAATTTACTGAAGAGATGAGACTTGCCAAGGCAAGTGACCTAGGGGAAACACTGGACTGATATACTATTTGAGCACATTTTAGCCTAAATGTACAATCCCATGCAGGTTTATATCTGCCCTGAAACAAGAAAATGAATAAAGTTTTACTTTAAATATGCTGTAGACGTCTACTTGACTCAGTGATGGAAGGAAAGGCGAGCGTTTTCGTCTTGATGGAGGCTTTGGTGTTGGTGTTGGTCTTGGCATTGGCGTTGGCTCTGGTGTTGGTCCAGCTGCAGACGGAACTTTAAACCTAGGGAATGGCTCTGGCCTGGGAAAGCAAGGGTATGCCTCAAAGTCTTCCAACTCATAAGAATATCCTGATAACTTCTGCACAGGCAGCTGGCTGTATACCTGTTTTAGAAATAAATATATATATACCGTATATCAGCAAAAAAAAAAAGTTTTTAACTCAAAACCATGTCAAAGCACTGGTAAAGACCCGCACATAGTCAATGGTGATTTCCTCCTCGGGTTTCAGCAGCAGGACACTCTGGTCGATGGCTCTGACAGAACACAGGGACTTAGGGTGAGCCTTCAGAGTCAATGTGGTTTGCTCTGCAGGGAGCTCCTGGAGGGCAGAAAACTTAAGGGATACCTACACAGAAGACATCAAAGTATTGAGTTGGATCAGATGAAAGTTGTCGATTTGGATGCAGTTTTCCTTCTTAAACACACATTTCCATGTGTTTCTACCTGGTTATTGAGACAGAGCTGAACAGGGAAGTCCTGGCTATCAGCCACTATCTCTCCACTTGGCATCACCGTATAAACCACTATCTGGGCAAATGGTGCCAGGTTTATCACCTGAGTCAAGGTTATGCTGAACTGTCCTTTGTTATCTGGGGGAGAAAACATATAAAAGGTCAAGAAATGGAAGATAGGGCAACAATATAGTTGATGCAATAACTTGTGATTTTCATTCTTAAATCCTAAAACTTTAGTTTTTAAAAAGTCCGTTATAAATTAGAGAACATTCACTTACTATACTGATAAAATTAAATACTAGCAAAAATGCTGAGCAGAGGTGGCAAACTCATTACCTGCAGGAACTTTTCACCAGTAAACAAAAACAACTCTCTCAAAAACATACGTGAAAAAAACAATATACATTATTAATCCCTATCAAATTCAGAATAGAATTCAAAATCCTACTTCTAACCTACAAAGCTCTAAACAACCTAGCTCCATCTTATATTACAGATAATATTGTTCCATATTTTCCTAAAAGAGCACTTCGCTCTCAGACTGCAGGTTTACTTGCATTTCCTAGAGTTTCCAAAAGCAAAATGGGAGGGAGATCTTTCAGTTATCAGGCTCCTCTCTTGTGGAACCAACTTCCAGTTTCTGTCCATGTGGCTGATGTAGGGGAATACATGTACAGGATATTGGACTTCTGGTCCCGTCAAACCCGTACTCTTTAACAGGTTTTACTCTGGACCGGCCTCACCTCAAACATATATAAACAATGAGTTCTTGTAATGAACTTAATTCTTATCCCTCAAAGAAAACACGAAGAATCCATAATTTAAATACAGTTCTGTAATATTTATTTTCAGTTTGAATTATGACATGGAAATTATGGCAAATATTGAATATGAATATGAACCAATAATATTATTTTAGAAAGTAAATGGCATAAATCTGAGGACTTTGAGAAGGAGATTTGATTCAATTTGGACTAAGGTCTAGCTCTTAACGTTAAAATTTAGGTGTTTATCTCAGATTCATGAATTAAATTATCTAAACAAACTTAGTTGGCACTGTTTCGTGGTCCTCTCATCAGAAGGAAGATGTTCATCTCTCATTACCACAGCGGATGCATGAAGGAAGCTGGTGGCCCGCTGTCCCATGAAGGATGTTGTTTCTCAGGGCTGCGGTTTGTTCGGCTCGTACCTTTAGCTCCAGGGTGTTTGAGATTTTTCAGGATGTTGTTGGATTTGATATCTTTTATATCTTTTTATATCTTTTGACAAGCCTTGACATTTCTTTGATGATGTGAAATGATGCATTTTCTACAAGGTGTGTGCGGGTATAATCATACACTAATTACTTCATGTTATATATAATCTCACAAGTGCTAAGGATAATCATACAAGTTCACATTTGGTATAATTCTGAGGGAAACAGAGACAGGTAAGACACTTGTTCGTGCAGCAGGAAATGATCCTTCTTTGTCCTCTGAGTAAAGCAGCTGAGAGTGAGGGCCCACCAATGTGACACACTGCTCACACGTTGATTAAACATAAATAACACTAAATTACAACATTCATATACTTTATACTTAACACAGGTTGAGTATATATGCTTTCACATTAATAATAGTTCAGACACACAGAAAACGTGTTTTAAAGCTTTACACAGACGAGAGCCAGAGTAAGTGTCCTGTGTTCCAAAACAAAGCTCGTAAATCAACCCTTATCAGTAGAAGAATGAGCAAGGCCGTCTGGGGCCTTCGGAGTAACCATGGAGATAAGATCTGCTCCTGACTGGCTGAACAGGGTGTCACTCAGACCATCCAGAGGTTTTGACACCCAATCATAAGTCTGTCCGAACCCGAAAGGGCGGGACATGAGAAACCTATAAATCTCGCTCAGACACAAAGTTTGTTTGAACAAACATCGGGCTGATTGACCAGGCAAGGTTCACTCTGAATTTGTTCCTCAGACTGCACTCTGATTATATGTAATATCTGCATACTTTAACTTTGTCTCAATTAAATCTTTTATAATAAGGTGAAGTGCTCCTGAAATTCTGTGCTCGGGTCATTTTAAACACCACAAATCCTTCAATGTCCACCATCTCTCAGCTGGACATATCTTCTATCATGTGGCTGTTGTTTCTCAGAGAGTCTCATCAACTCTCCAACCACTCATTCCATCTGCTCAGCTCAGCTGATGATCCCAAGCCAACTTTCCTCATCGGCTGCCATCTTGCAACCCCCTTGGTGTTCAGTATACCTGGCACCAGGAAGATGGGCCCCTTAAATTTTAACCAATCAGAGGGCTTCTTACAGTAGGAATATCCCACTGTATAATTAATGTAATTAAAATCTCCCTTCTCAAAGTTCTTCAGAGAAGATAATACAATGACCCTTTGTTAAGGATGTGTGACACCATGCTAATACAAAAAATGTAGGTTTCTTTGAATCAGAACTTCAACTGGGGTTTAACTTCCTTTACTGTATTAGGTGGTGGAATGTACAATCATTTCCACCTTTTTTCCACCATTCGGACCTGTGCCCACTCTCATATGTAGCATGTAAACATTTAGGGTTCTGGGCGGAGATGAGGGGTGAACGGGTGCCGCCTGCTCTCTGGGCAAGAGGTGGGTCTGTGCCGGTCACCACCTCATCCCCCCATTTTAAACGCACTGTATAACACCATGCATCAACACCATATTCGAGTGGGAGGAGGAGGAAGTGGGTCTGTTCATAATTTATTTATGCATATATAGATTTTTTTTTTTTCCTTTCACAAACACCTCCTTTCTCCATGTGACACTAGGGGTCGGGGATGGAGGGGGGGCGCATTGTTGGGGTCTGGGCTGTGGGTGGGCTTTGGGCCTTGGGGGCGGTTAGTGATGGGGCCGGTGCTTCGGTTCCTCCTGGGCTGTTCCGATTCTTTTAATCTAGGTTCTTGGTTGCGATGGCCGGCACTTTGACTGGGGTGGCTGCCGGCTTTCGGCGGGGGGTCGGCTAGGGTAGTGTACGTGTGGTCATTGGTGGTATAGGGCGGCAGTTGGGGGCGTGGCTTCGCCTCATCAGGGCACTGGCTGGTCTTCCTGTGTGGCATTTGCGGTGGGGGTGCTGTGTGTGTGGGGGGTGTGTAGGTGGCGTGCTGGGGCGTCTCCGGGCCTATGGTGCGGAGCTCTTGATGTGAGAGCTGGCCTTCCTCAGCTGCTGCTCCCTGCTGCTCTGCCCCTTGGGCTGGGGCAGGCCTGTGGTCGCTGTCAGGTAGATGGTGCATGCAGTCGGCCCGACAGAGATTCTGTCGGGCTATCTGTGTGTGCCTGTTAGTTGCTCAGGTTGGGTTTTTGGTGGTCCCCCCTCTCTTGGATCAATTTGGGCCCCACGTTTGGTGTGGGGCCCACTTCCCCCAGTCGTGCCCCCCTTTGGCGGGGGGCCCCCTTGCCGCCGGTGCATTGGTGGCTCTCGGCGTCTGGGCTGGGTGGTGGGGTGTACGTCGGTCCGCCCTGGTTGCTACCTGGCGGGGCCTGGGTGCCCTGGCTCTGTCGGGGCTCTGCTGGGGGGTGGTATGGCCTCGGGGCTTGGGGCTCGGTGTCCATGGCCGGATCTACTTGGGGGGGCATGGGTTGCCGGCCGGACCTGTGGGCTCGTCGCTGCAGCTTCCTGGAGGCTCTGCATTGTGGTGGCTGGGGTCACCCGGTTCTTTCCTCTGCTCCTCTCTGGGGGGGTGCGGTTCTCCCTGTTGGGAGACTCCTGGGGCTCCGGGCCTGTGGGCCGCTGTGTGTCTGTGGCTCCAGTCCTCCCTATGTTGCCATTGTGTCTTGGGGGGAGGTGGGTCTGTGGGCCCCCGCGTCCACTATTGGGCATTCTTTTGGAGAAATCTGGTGGTGGTGGGCGTGCTTGCGTGGGTGTTTGGATTCAGGTGCTTTGACAGATGCACGCTAGGTTGGGTAGTGGTGGAAGCTAGATGATTCCTTGTGCGATGTCGAATGTTTCATGGTGATATTGTGGGTGGCATTGCGCTGTGCATGTTGTTTTGTCGTGGTGGTCTCTCATTTTATCTATTTCTCTTTTATTTATTTATTTATTTATTTATTCTTCTTTCTTCTCTTTCTTTAAAAAAATAAAAAAAATAAAAATTGAGCGATGATGATAAGTTCATTGAAACACTTCACAATGTTTCTACACTTAAACTGAGCAAAAAAAAAAAAAACCAAACAAACAAAAAAAACCTTCCTTTACTGTCATGGCGACCAGTCTCTGTTGATAAGGCCAAGTGAAGCTCTTTGATCAAGACCCGTCTTCAGCAGTCTCAAAGTCTGGTGACGCAACACAGAAGGTGAATTACACGAATGGGATCCAGAATCATTTAACATGTCAGGGTGGTCCCAACTGTAGATTTTAACACATACAGAGAAGGTTAACGAAGAAACTTCCTGTGACAGAGCAGGATGCCAGTATCTGTCCCAGATTAGCAGGAAAGGAGGATGTAGAGTAGACTTAGTGTCTCTGAGGACATTTGTCTTAAGTTTCTTGGAAGGAGGGACACTACACTGATACATTGTCCAGTTTTGAGACTAGGCTTAAGACGTTCTTTTTTGATAAATCCTATAGTTAGGGTTGGCTTGGGTTTCCTGAGCTATCCCTTAGATATGCTGCTATAGGCTTAGACTGCTGGAAGACAAACTGACCACATTTTTTGCAAAGTCAAGGTCAAGGTTACTTTATTGTCATTCTCACCATATGTGGCACATGTGATGGAACTAAATTGTGTACACAGGGTCCCAGTTACATCCAACAAAAGTATAAATTGTAAACAAAAAACAGTAATAAGATCTAAGGTATGAACTAAGAAATATGCTAAACAAAGAATATACTAAGCACTAATAGTACAAAACAATGTGCCAAACAACAGCAGCACGAACATGAGTCTGTGTGAGCAGATGAGGACAAATGAACACAGCAACATGAAATAAATCAGCAGCATGAGATCAGCAGCATGTATAGTCAGCAGCACATATCAACAATCAAGTGGCATATTAGTGATTTTCTTTTTCTTTTTTCACAATGATAATCCTGATTAGGGATTCATGAGTCTAACAGCCTCAGGGTAGAAGCTGTTTCTCAGTCTAGTGGTTCTACACTTAATGCTCC